GAACTAATTTTCCTGAAAAACTATTTGAAGAAAAATATTTTATAAATTTCAACCGACAATATCACTAACTGATAGGTATAGAAAGGTCTGTTATCACCATAAGAATTATTACCTGGGATGAGAATTATTTCTGGGATGAGATATTATTATGTACATGGATCGGACATTTGTTGCCTTATTCATCACAACGTTTCGACCGTTGTACGCTCCGGCCTTCTTCAGGTGGTTGGAATGTCGAACTGAACCCTTTATTTAACTCACTGGGGCAGACTGTTCTAGTTCCACGTGCCATGTCTAATGGATGTCAGTTATCTCCTGTTTAATTCCCCTCTCCAAGTTCTCCACCGTCTTAACCAGGTATTGAACTCACACTCTTTAGGTCCTGTCACTGGATCTAACCAACACCTTTATCCACTGTACCATGTCCTTGAGGACATCTGTGTATGAATTTCTGGGTACTATAAACCTTAATGTCTTCAGCAACCCTATTTTTTTTTACCAGTGCTCATATTGCAATTTTTGCTGTTATTATTGCATTTTTTTTACCAGAGCTCATATTGCAATTTTCGTTGTTATTATTGATTTTCTCTGGCACCCCTTATTACTGGTTCCCATATTGTATTCATTTCTATGCTTGGTCGGCTCAAGAGATTTTTTGTAGATTAGCATATTATTATCTAACAAATTTGTTCATACATTGAATGTTGCTTTCATATCTAGTTTATGTATTTGTGATTGTTGATAAAATATAACGAAGAATCTGCAGTGTTATTGGTTGTGATCTGGCATCTCGGTTTCAGTACTTTTTCTATATATATTTTCAAAAATCTTTGTTCTGATGAGGTTTCCTCTTTAGCACCTAGACTCTTATGAATTTTAACGTACTGGTAGATTATGGAAATGAAAAAAAATAGCTATTGTTAAAATGATCTTGTTAAACATTTACTTACATTAGCAATCTATTATATTACAGCCAATTACATCTATCACTGCTTTCAGTGGGACTTGTTCCCTAAATTTGAGAAAGCTAAAATTTGAATATAAATTACTTATTTGTGCAGAGGGAAAAGAATGACTTATTTACAAGACAAATGAAATTCTAAAAGAATATAAGAGCAGTACTAGATTGGCAGGTAGGTCTCATCGTCCTATATTTGCAATGTCCATATGTAACCGTAAAGTCTATGCTAACAGTTACTTTTCTCGCACTTCTCGCTTGTGGAACACTCTTTTTGTTTGTTCTTTTCCAGTCATCCTCGATCTTCAAAAAATTAAATACAATGTCAATCGTTATCTTCTGCTTTCTTTGTTCCTATTCTTTTATTGTTTTCTCTCCTTAATAATGTTTTTTTTTTCTCCAGTTATTTCACACACAGTAATCTCTTCCGTCTTAGTGGCTTTGGTGCCTTGCTTGGGGTGAAGTAATTTTAAAATAAAATATATAAAATTATAATGATGTTTATACTAGATTTTATAAAAAAAAATTAATGCAGACACTGAGCATGTTTCTTTTCATGTTGACCTTCTTCAAGGAATGTACTGCTGCATTTATTTTCCTCCCCACGTTGCATTATTATCTTCATGTCCGGTTTTGAAATGTTTAACATATTTCGGTAAACTGATATTCTGGGCTCTATGATACTGTTGAAGGTTTTTTGAAAATTATTTATTCTTTGTCTTTGATGTATATTCACCTATTATGTCCCCGTTTTTTTTTTAATATTCCAATCTTTTTTTTTTTTTTTAATTATTATTTTCTTCACAGACCGAAGAGACTTTGCTTAAATTGTCCGTTTGTTATCTGTCAGCGTCATTGTTAAGACATTTCGACGATTAGCTGGTGAGATTATGACCGGGAATTAAATACTTAACACCCCCCCGCCCCTGGCCCCTGAAAAGCACAAACAAACTCACACACACACACACACACACACACACACACACACACACACACACACACACACACACAGAGAGAGAGAGAGAGAGGTGCTTTGGCCCTGCCCCTTACTTCCAGGAACGGTTGATAAGAGATAAAGGATGTCTTTCTCTCTTTCTTAGTTCTTGTATTTGTATTAAGGTTTTCGTTAGTTTTGACAAGCGAATCAGCGAAGTGTTGTACATTATAGAGTTCCAAACAAACCAACAAACAAGAAAACAACTTGGTGAACTTTTCACAAGGCATTTTTTCCGTTATCCTACGGCATCAGTTAAAATAGAGGTAATACCATGCTTTCATGCTCTGAAACAAAGAATCTGGAATCTTCTAAGATAAAAAAAAACACATTTTGAATTTGATTGCAAGAATAACCGTAAAATTTAAAAGGAAACTTGTAAAATTAAAATTAATGGTAATGCTAATATTAACCTCAAGGAGACATGGCCCGGCAGATAAAGACGTTGGTTAGATCCATTGACTAGAACCAAAGAGTTGTGAGTTCAATACCAGGCCACAGCAGTGGTGAACGAAAGTTGAAGAGTTAAAGGCAAAATAAATGAAACATCCGGAAGAGGCATGGCATGGGGAACCAGAACAATCTACCCCGGCGGACGAATTAAACGGTTCGGTTAGAATTTCCAATCACCTGAAGAAGGCTGGAGCGTACAACGCCCGAAACGTTTGGAATGTGGTAGTGAAGATGAGGATAATAGTCCGAATAATGTAAATAAGGCAAATAATATTAGCCGTTTCCTTATAAGGAAACATTTGGCATTTATTGACCGGAAAAGTAGTCATGTTTGCGGCTGAGATTTATAATTTTTTTTTTTTTTTTTAGGAAAACGGGTTTCTCAAGTCCAGTAGATTGTATTGCTCTTTCCAGTATTGATATTAGCCGTTTCCATATAAGGAAACATTTGGTATTCACTGACCGGGCTGCCAGTACTGCTTTCGGTTGAAATTTATAAAAAATTTTTCTTAAAACACTTTTTCGAAAAACAGGTTTCTGAAGTCCACTAATTCCTGAGCTCCATACCAAAATATATATATTTGAAGTTAATTCTATTTCTGGAACCCCACCAACCTCTCGTTGTCCTTAATTTTATCTTATTTTATTTTTCCTTCTATATTTCATCTTTATATTCGTATATGTAACGTCACCATCCAAACTCTGTAATTTTATTTACTACTTATTTTTTATTTATTTTTTTCCTCAACAGGAGTAGATAGGTTTGCCTATCATCTGTTTCGTAATGGTAATATTATCTGTTTCCCTACACAGAAACATATGGTATTCATTTACCGGGGAACCAGTACTGCTTTCAGATGAAATTTATAAAAATTTCTCTTAAAACTCAAGTCCAATATCTGTTATTGCTCTTTCCAGTATTGATGGGTGTTTTCCTTACTAACCTTTCATTTGAAGTGGTATGGAATGTTAACATCTTGATTATGTCATTAATTTCTCTTTACATTACATGTACCATCCATTTTAATCATTGCTGCTATTAGCAGTTATCAAACCATTGTGGGACAATAGTCTTAAAAGCTGTTATAAGCAGCGATAATCAATAGGCAGATTAGGCTTAGATGTTTCCCGGTAGATTGACCAGATCTTTGCATTTATTTATAACCTATTAGGATTTAGTAGTAGCAGGCTGTGTGATTTAAATGAAAATTGGGTGGTAGGAAAAATAAATTTCCATATGGTAATCTGTTTCTTGCAAAACCATAAACAACACTATTATCGCTCTTAGTCTGGAACACTGGTATAATCTTCACCAATCCCAAAGAACAAACTCCCCTGAAACAAAAAATCAGCTCTTTTATCCTTCCTCCATTGATCGAATAACCAGTACTGTTTTCGGTTGAAATTTATAAAATATTTCTCTTAAAACTCATTTATTTAGGAAAACAGGTTTCTCAAGTACCGTAGATTTTATCGCTCTTTTCCCGAATCAATGGTGGGGTTTCCACCTAACATTCTATTTGAACTTGTGCAGAATGTTAACATCTTGATTATGTTATTATTATCTCTTCGAGTTAGATGTTCTAACCATTTTAGTCAACCAGCGAACCAGGTAGGTTTCTATTGCCATGTGAGTAAGAGAGAATAGATCACAACCTCCTCTGAACCTTCCGAATTGGAAGTCACTCAATACTCCCTCCATCAAGAGTTGAGGACTTCAGATATCTTAGATCTCACATAATAGATTAAAAAAAAAAGGCTTCAACATTCGCCAAGCTTTGCACTAGATTTGGCGCTTGAACCTTCCATCTTCTTTAAAAATCCAAACATTTCAAACATTGATTGAACCAGTCCTACTGTATGAATCAGAAATTTAGACATTAAAATTAACTTCAAAATTAGGTCTTCAAACGTCGTATAATATACGAGTATATACGATAAATGACGGAGGATTCCAATAAAAATATTTAACACCAGATATTGCGTTAATTGGGTTCTCCCATAGTTGTAATGCTTAGATGTAACCGTAAGTTCTATGCTAACAGTTTCTTCTCTCGCATTTCTCATTTATGAAAATCTCTTGATTCCAAGTCAACTTTGTTCTTCAAATATTTAAATGCAGTGTCAATCGTTATCTTCTGTCTTCTTAATTAATCTTCTTTTATTCTTCTCTCTTCTTAATAAGGTTTCCTTTTTCTCGTATTCTCTCACACTCAGTAACCCCTTGCATCTTAGTGGCTTTATTACCTTGCTTGGGGGTGAAAAATTTAAAGCCAACTGTCTCAGTCACGAGGCAGGTTATATGTAGATTTTTCCTCCGTTTCGAGTTCTGTTTCCATATTCAGTAAAATTACCAAAACAGCCATTTTATTAAATCTATGGAGATTATAATATATACTCTGCCGTAAACCGTTCTCTCCCCATTTTTTCCCCTCTCGCTTCGTTCATAGCTTTCATTGCGGGCACGGATATTATGACCTTCACCAACAGGCCCTGTCCGAACTAACGGGCGTCGGCCATATTGGCTTGAAAACAACGAATCAGATACGGGAATAAATCATCTTAAAGCCTGGCATTTTATTCTGATTAAAATACTCCGGTGAGGAAAGAGGGAGAGAGAGAGGAGGGGAAGAGGGTGGGGAATTATGAGTAAATATGTATGCGAGAGAAAGGAAGAAGAAAATTTATTTGAAAAATGAGAGAGGAAGAGTAAGTAAAATTGCGTGAGAGGAAGAGAGAGAGAGAGAGAGAGTATGTGTTTGAGAGTGAGTATCACTGTGTAAGAAGGTGGGGCGTGTACTTAAATGCGAAGTAATGCTTAGCAAGTTTGTTCCGTGATATCTGTTACGACTGAGTAGTGAGTTCGATCCGCACTGGATTACGCCCTTTTACCACATATAATCTACGCTTAGTAAATCACTTTGTGAGTATGAGAGATAAAATAAGTGATTTTCTGTGTGGATGAGTATATGTGAGAGAGAGAGAGAGAATGACTTTCTTGCTTACATTAAATTTTCTAACTGTAGCTTAGACGTGGCACAAGGCCGAAAGTAAGGGGCACCCAGTGAGGATCGAACTCACTACACAGTCGTAATTGTTCTAGCGAGACAAGCTCGCTAGCCATTACACTGTCTCGAGGTTCCCTTGTTTGTATGAATATGTGTGTGTGTGTGTGATGTTAATCGTGTGTTTTGGGAAGTTCTTGGTCAGACACAGTTTTCGAAATCAGATGAAAATCCCATTTGTTTTCAGTCCGAAAAATTTTCTGAGTCCCTGCTTGTGTGTATGCGTTTCTGTGTGTGTGTGTGTGTGTGTGTGTGTGAGAGAGAGAGAGAGAGAGAGAGAGAGAGAGAGAGAGAGTGAAAGATAGATAGAGAGAAAGATAGATAGATAGAGAGAGAGAGAAAGAAAGAAAGTAAGTATGGAAAACACAATGTGTAAGTTTGTACATGTGAGAGAGAGAGTGAATGAATGAATGAAAGCGCGCGTTGGTCGCACGCGTATGTGTATACGCGGGAGAAGGGGACAGGGAGAGAGACAGAGAGAGACTCTGTATATCAGAAGAGAGAAGTAGTGGGAAAGAGAGAGAGAGAGAGAGAAACAAAAACGTGTGGCGGGGTAGTAAGGTTGGGTGGGGAGAGGCTGACTCCGAGAGAATAAAATCAAATGAATTGCGATCGGAATGGGAATGCTTATGTAGCCCGGCTAGACTCCATATTTTATCCCAAAAAGCCGCGATCGATTCTGGCAAATGGACTATCCGAGGTGAGGCGTCGGGGAGTAGAGTGGGGCCTGGGCTGGGAAGACGGTTCTGGTGAGCGGAAACAAAGATAAGCAGGGAAATGTCATATATGAACATGCAGACGTCGAAAACTACGTATCAAATAAATTGCCCGCCGCCCGAGAAGCTCGATGGACTCGTACGCAGGTTAATTTTCTCCTTCGGTCGATTTAATCATCGATAGACTGAGTGATGCTAGCGCAGCGTTGATAATCGGTTTGAGGCCTTTATCCGTCTTACCTCCCTACTCGGCGGTACCCATCATCTCGCTGAATTATTTTTCTTTTTTTGTTGTTGTTTTCGCCAAATCTGCCAATCTTGGGCGTGATTGCTTCACCGATTGGATCTTCACGGCGACCAGATCTAAACGATTCCAGTAGAATTCTGACATCTCTTGAAGAAACGATACGCGTGCCATTATGTTCTTGCCGTAGGGATAACAAGACTGTGATCTGTAGGAAGCATACATTTAAGGATGCGCATCTCTTCAGATTCTAGAAATACAACTGGCATTTAAGCCACCATCGTAAGAATTTAACGAAAAAGAAAAAAAAAAAAAAAAGAAAATGTCTGGCTGAATTTCTGAGATGAGGAATTGTCGTGATTTACATTATTTATTCTTGGACTATTATCTTCATCTTTGTTGTTATAGTCACACACATAATAGCCTAGTGGGTTAAAACGTTGATACGATTTTGTTTAGCGACACATCAACACTTCTATGGGATATTTAATGCCAAAATCTAAATATTTTACATTATATACATTATTCGTACTATTGTCCTCATCTTTGTCGCCATATTTATTAAAACGTTTCGGCCGTTGTACGCTCCGGGCTTCTTCAGGTGGTTGGAATATCGAACTGAACCCTTTATTTCGCGGCAAGCAAGAACGTTATCCGAGTAGGCCTGGGTACCCTACTTCTGTAATTTATCCCAAGAATCTTTTTCTCATAATAGGAAGAAGCCGGCTCAATCCGCCCAGGGTGAATGCTGCATCAGTACAGTAGTAGTAGTTTATTTCGCTCACTAGGGTAGATTGTTCTAGTTCCACGTGCCATGTTTAATGGATGTCAGTTATCAGTAATCTCCTGTTAATTCCCCTTTCCAAGTTTTCCACTGGCTTAACCGGGTATTGAACTCACATTGGAGAGGGGATAAAAAAATATGTATCAATATAGTGATTTTATTTCTTCCTTTAATGATAATGTTGTTAAGCTTATCGGACGATATGAAAAGAATTAACATAAAATAAATAGACAAAACTTGTCTATATTATTTAATGAAACATGCATCAATGAAAAATGCTGCCTAA